GGGGCTGGAGGCAGGGGAGGGGGCCGGGCTCGGGGGGGGTGGGGGGCTGGAGGAAGGGGAGGGGGCCGGGCAGGGGGGCTGGGGGCAGGGGAGGGGGCCGGGCTCTGAGGGAGGGGTGGGGGCTCGCAGCTCTGACGCACGCTGCCGGCTGGCGGGGCGGGCTCTGCCCGCAGGCAGTGGCCGGTCCAGCCGGGGAAGTTTGCCGGAGCGGGCAGGCGGATGCCCGGGGCTGGGGCCGCCCAGAGCCGGAACGAGGAGCCCGGGACAGCTGCAGGGCCGCCCCCCCCCCCCAGGTGGGTGCATTTACCGGGGGCCCGGCGGGGGGGGCGGTGATGGCGAGCCCGGGGACGCGCGGCCCCAGGGCTCCGAGCAGGAGCGCGGGGGGCGCCCCGGGAGGACAGAGCTGGGTTCGTGCAGCGCCGGGCACAGCAGCTCCTGAGGCCCCCCACTCCCCCCAGCCCTCCAGCCAGTGATTAGCAAGGGGGTGTGTGGAGCTCTGCTGGATTGGGTGGGGCAGCCAGGAGCTCGGGGGCAAGGGGTGGGGGGCAGGGGAGGTAAGAGGGGTTAGCACCCTAGGGTGCTGGCGGGGTTTAGTTCTTCAGGCACCTGCTGCGCACATGCACTCGGCTATCGCTGCAGCAGCACAGGTATTTTTGTTTGAATTGCTTCCTTTGTTATTATCCCCGGTGGAGTGGGTCCCTCCCAGTCTCTGCTCTAACCACTAGACCAGTGGGCTCCAAACTTTTTTGAGCACGCACCCCCTGCCGCGCCGAAGCAAAAAGAAAAAAAAAAGCACTCTTTCTGCTGCGCACTCCCAAGGAGCCTCTTGTGCACCCCACTTTGGAGACCACTGCACTAGACACCCCCCCCTTCCCAGAGCTGGGGAGAGAACCCAGAAATCCTGACTCCCAGCCCCCCTGCTCTGTCTAACCCAGTGGTTTTAAACATTTTTTCTGATGACCCAGTTAAAGAAAATTGGCCTGTGACCCAACGGAGCCGGGGATGAGGGGGTTGGGGGGGGGGCTCAGGGCTGGGGCAGGGGTGCAGGAGGGGGTCAGGGCTCTGGGCTGGGGCCGGGGATGAGGGGTTTGGGGTGCAGGACAGGGCTCTGACCGAAGTTTGGGACACGGGAGGGGGTGAGGGGTGTAGGCTCCGGGCGGTGCTTACCTCAGGCAGCTCCCAGAAGCAGTGGCATGTCCCCCCTCTGGTTCCTATGCTCTCGCCCGCAGGCACCGCCCCCCCAGCTTTCATTGGCCGGGAACTGGTGCGGAGTCGGTGCTTGGGGTGGGGGCAGCGCGTGGAGCTCCGTGGCCCCCCACCTAGGAGCCAGACCTCCTGTTGGCCGTTTCCGGGGCGCAGCGCGGTGTCGGAACAGGTAGGGACTAGCCTGCCTTAGCCGGGCAGCACCGCCGACAGGACTTTTAACGGCCCGGTCGGCGGCGCTTACCAGTGCCGCCGTGACCCACTCCTGGGTTGCGATCCGCAGTTCGAAAACCACTGGTCTAACCCACTAGACCCACTTCCCTACCAGCTGTAGGGATAGAACCCAGGAGTCCTGACTCTGAATTCCACCCTGCTCTAACCACTAGACCCCACCTCTTTCCCAAAGCTGGGTTAGAACCCAGGAGTCCTGACTCCCAGCCCCCCTGCTCTATCTAACCCACTAGACCACACTCCCCTCCCAGCTTTAGGGCTAGAACCCAGGAGTCCTGACTGTTAGCTCCCTGCTCTAACCACTAATCCTACGGCCCCTCTTGGGCTGCAGCCTGCCCTGACAGTGGCGTACCCCCATCCCTACACACACCCACACTTGCCAGCATCTTTCCGCCCCCACTGCCCCGCCTCCCAGTGCTCTTTACATCCTGGGGTTTGTCTCTTGCTTTCCAGACGGGGTGGCCAGCCCGCGTCCCGGGGATTCTTTCCCTGCTGTGAGTGTCCTGGCGAGGCAGGGGGAGCTATGCAGAAATGCCAGCGCTGCCCTGGCTCCTCGTCATCGTTCTCTGCCAGTGTGGCGGCCTGGCGTGTCCTGAGGGCTGCCGCTGCCCGCTGGAGAGCAGGGTAGTGAGATGCACCCACGGGCAGCTGAGGGAGATCCCCCAGGGCATCCCCCGCGACACTCGCGTGCTCTACCTGGACGCCAACGAGATCACCGGCCTCCCGGACGGCACCTTGCGGGAGCTGCGCCAGCTGCGAGAACTCTACCTCTCGGACAACCTGATCGAGAACATCTCCCCAGCCGCCTTCGGGGAGCTGGGCAGCCGTTTGCAGCTGCTGGACCTCTCCAATAACCGGCTCCAGCAGCTGGGCCCTGCCGAGGCCGCCTCCACCCTGCGGGCCAAGATGCGCCTCTACGGTAACCCGTGGCACTGCGGCTGCTCCCTGCAGGAGTTGCTGGAGGCCCTGCCCCTGGAGGCCGAGACGCTGGAGGACGTGGTGTGCTCCAGCGCGGCCCGGGAGGAGTACGTCGGCCAGCCCTTCGCCCTCCTGCTCAACACCGGCATCGACTTCTGCAGTGTCCAGCAGAGGACCACGGACGTGGCCATGCTGGTCACCATGTTCTGCTGGTTTGCGGTGCTCATCGCCTACGTGGTCTACTACGTTCAGCGGAACCAGGCCGAAACCCGCAGGCACCTGGAGTATCTCAAGTCCCTGCCCATTAAGCAGCCGAGTCCAGAGGAGGAGGAGGAGGAGGAGGAGGAGATGGAGGAAGACACGCTCAGTACCATCCTCTGACCCAGACTCTTTGCAGTGGGCGGGAGCTGTATTTAAAAGGGGAAGGTTTTGACTTTGAACCACGATGGCTGAGAAATCGGCACGGCACCAAATCCATACAGAGTATGCTGGAAAGGTTAGAGAGGAAGGTTGGCCTGGTGGTGCCTGGGCCAGGAGAGACCCGGGTTCTATTTCTTACTCTGCCACAGACTTCCTGTGATACTTTGGGCAAGTCACTTAGCATCTGTGTGCCTCAGTTCCCCCATCTGTACCTTAGGGCTTGTCTACATGGGGAAGTTATTCCAGAATAAAGTAGGACATGAATCTGAAGCACAACAGCGATGCTGGACCAAGAGTGTCCAATCCTGGCGTCCACTCTTCAAAGAGGAGGATGGAAAAAATGATGATTCAGACAAGAGCTGCAAGAATGATTCAAGTTCTGGAAAACCTGCCTCAGAGCAAGAGGCTGATGGAGCTCAACTTATTTAGCTTATTGTTCAAGAGGTGAAGAAATAACCTGATGATGGTCTAGAAGCACCTGCCTGGGAGATGGAGATATTCAAAACTAGGGGGTTAATTTTAGACGACAAAACCCTTTATTTAGGCACCGAAGTAAATGTCCTGATTTTCAAAAGTGCTCAGCGCCCAGCAGCTCCCATTGACTTAACTAAACATCTTATTTTTGGCTTGACCTCCTCTGTGGATCACTGTCCTTCTCACACGTTCCGAACTGGGCCACCACCGATCAGTTTCATAACCAGCTAGTTAGCGGCACGCAGTGACCCAGTGGGGCTGGGAAGGCTGCTGCGAGTTACTAGCATAGACAGCTGTGTTCTACCTGCCGAATTGTAGCTGGTTTTTGAAACTCAAACCAAATAAAGAGCTGGTCTCCAAACTCCGCGTTCTTCTTCGAGTGCTTGTTCATGTCAATTCCAATCCGGTGTGTGCGCGCGGACGTGCACGGTGGCCGGAAGATTTTTCCCATAGCAGCCTCCGTCGGGTTGGTGCGGGCGCCCCCTGGAGTCACGCCTTCATGGCGCTCAATATAGACCCCTGCCGACCTCAGCTCCTTCTTCCCGCCAGTGATGGTAGGCTGGAACGTCCCGTAGCCCTTGCTTAGCAAGGGTGTTCAACAGTTCTTTGTATATAGGTTATCTTAGTAGTTTTAGTTAGTTAGTGATTAGAGTTGTTGAGGGTCCCCCCCGTTTCGACTCCCCGGAGCCGTGGTATGCCGCGGTCCCCAAGGTTTAAAAACTGTGGTCTGCACGAAGCGCATGCCAAAGAGTGATCCACACTCTTCGTGTTTACGATGCCTAGGGGAGGGCCACCAAAAGGATCGCTGTGAGATCGGCTGCGAGTTCCGCCCTAGAACTCTTAAAGAAAGGGAGCAGCGGCTTAAAGTGATCCTCATGCAGCTCTATGCCCCCATTCGGACCCGGGCTATGGGGACCCGGCTCCTAACACATCCTTGTTCGGTGCCGAGAAAGGACTCGTCCCGGGACGCTCGGTACCGGCACGGCACCTCCCGAGGCCCAGCGGAGAGCAGGCACTGATCTCACTCGCCGGTGCCTCAGAAGAAAAAGAAGCCGGACAGTCGGCCACCTCCAGCTAAACCTAGAGAAGTGAGACCCCAGGCGGGCCACAGCTCCAGATCCCCTGTTAGGGCCACGTCGACTCCTGCCCAGGCGAGGCAGTTGAGTTCCAGGTCACTGTTGCCTGGTTAGTCACGGGGTTTCTGTTTGATTGCACTCTGGCCAGGCTGGCTGATAATCCGAGCCCCCTTCCCTTACTCCGGGGGCAGGGTATGAGCCATGAACTCCTGTGTCGGATTAGGTTTATAGACACACTCATAAGCCAGTCCCTTTCCTTTGCTGTAGAGTAGCCATGATGCATCTTAATAACACAATTAGGCTTCCTAAATCCTGATTTAAGCCTGGTCTACACACACAAATTGTAGTGCTTTAATTCTATCCCTCTAGTAAAAGCGGTCTAGCCCCTGTAGTGGGGATGCAGTTATATTGAAATACATGCACTTCTACCCATACGGGAAGAGGAATAAGCGAGATCAGTTTAAGGCCTGCTCTACACACACTGTACTGGTCTAACGAGGTGGGTTAGGAGGGGGAGGTTTGTGTTACTGATCTAGGACATGTCCGCATTGCAAAGGAGGCTTGTTCTTAAAGCTGTAACAAGATCCAATAGCTGGAAGTGGTAGTTAAACGCTTGCACCTTATTCCAGTCTGAATTTGTCTAACCGGGAGGGTAATTAACCATTGCAACACTTTACCGAGAGTCATGGTGAGTTTCTGCATCACTGATCATTTTGAAATCAAGCTGGGATGTTTTCTCAGCACATCTGCTCTAGGTCAGAAGGAATTATTTGGGGTAAATTCTCTGGCCTGTATTATACAGGCGGTGAGACTGGATGATCACAGTCGTCCCTTCTGGCTTTGGAATCGATGACTCTACTGGGCCGCTGGGTCAGCCTGCTGAGGAATTGGCGGGAGAGGAACTAGGAAGCCCTGGAGTGTCAGCGGGGCCCCTTTTCTGTCGGCCTGGCCCGAGGGGCTGGGTGATTTCATGGGGCAGCGAGGTGCTGCCGGTCAGAACCAGGCCCAGCCTCTCCTCTGGTGACCCATCTCCACTATGAAGGGTGGCCGGGACCAGGGGGGTATGTGGCAGGGGGCAGGAATTGAAGGTTGGATGGGCTGGGAGTTGATGTGGCAGGGAGGAGGGGGGGAGTCAGGTAGTCGGGGTGAGGGAGGGCAGGAGATGGGGGACAAAGGGACAGGGAGTGAGGTCAGGGGAAGCAGACAGGAGTCATGTGGTAGAAGCCGGAGTGGGCCTTGGAGTTGTGGGAGGGGCCCGGGACATGTCGTGGGGGAGGTGAGGAGAGAGGTGTCATGGGGTGGGAGGAGGCAGAGCGGATGGGAATGGAGGGAGCAGGAGTCAGGCTGTCTGGGTGGAGAGACAGTGGTCAGGAGCTGTATTTGGGGGGCTGAGAGGAGTGTGAAAGGTGGGTGTTGGGGGCAGTTTTCCCAAGGCTGGGCCTGTTCTCTGCAAGGGCCCCCTCTCCCCACAGCAGCGGGGGGTTTGGCAGGGACATAAAAGCTTAATCTGGGGGATTAACAATGAAACCACCATAAATCCCTCTCCTCTAATCCCTGCTTTTCAGGGGTGCGTCGGGCCCATCTGCCCCCCCCGCCACCACTTTCCAGCCAGTCGTTCTCAGCCACCCGCGTGCACGCTCTGCCTCTCCTCAGCGGGCAAGAGCAGGAGAAGAACAAAGAGTTTGCCTGCCAATAGCGCCTTTCATCCCAAATAACCGTCAAATGCTTTGCAAGTACACACGTCGCTCCCCCCTTGGCCTGAAATGCAGCCAGCCCTGGGGAAGAACAGGGCCGCTGTTTTAACAGCTCACAGCCACACTATGGGACAAGTTAGGGGAGGAGAAACTGGAGGGGGAACGGCACTTGGCTGGGATGCTAATATTTCATACCCTCTGCCTCTTGGTACAAGAAGAGCCAGCAGGGGGCGAGGCCCTGGGCTTTGCAGCTCAGCTGAGACGCAGGCACTTGGTTTTCTTTTTAATTTCTCCAGCCCGGCGAGGGTTTAAGGCGATTACGGCTGAACCAAATGGCATCTTTCCTGACTCACGTTGGATGCCGATTTAGGCTTCCTCTGGTTTTGTTTTTAAAAAATTAAACCCCCCGTTTCCTGGTGTCCTCAAAGGCCCCTGTGTGTCACGCCCGCAGCATTGCTCATTTCTGGGGCGGAAACCATTGACGGAGTCCCAGCGTGGGGCCCACCAGCCTGGCCTGAAGGGAGGGACATCCTGGGGGAGACTGGCTCAGTGCAGGCCTGTAGGACTCCACAACTGAACACCTTCACTCCCACAGGTGCGTCCCAGATCCTCTCCCTGCTGCTTCCTGGCTTGCCCAGCTCTGGGAAGCGCTGCTTCTGGTCCCCAGGCATTTTCCTGCCAGCACGAGGGAACTGCTAGGTATGACTGGCCAGAGAAGACATCTCCATGGAGAGAGCTACTGTTAGCCCAGCTCATTCTGCTGTGGTCAAATGTTCTGCTTGGAGCGTCCTGGACAAGGCTCCGGACCACGATCAATTACAGCCCCTCAGTTTTGCACGTCCTTGCTGCCCGGGAACCTCACCACAGTCACTTGCACTGAGCTGGCCTTTCAAGTCAGAAAATTAGATCGTTTGTAGTGGGCCTGTTTAATGCTCAAAGTGCTCATTTCCATCTGGGGCGGAGGTTGGGTTTGCAAAGCTCCATCCTCTCGCCAGGTTATTTATAACCAGCCCTTTCATCTCTAAAAAGCGACAAAGAGTCCCGTGGCACCTTATAGACTAACCGACGTATTGGAGCATGAGCTTGCGTGGGTGAATACCCACTTCGTCAGATGAATGTCCCACCAAAGCTTATGCTCCAATACGTCTGTTAGTCCTAACACTACCAATGGTCTGAACTGGTCTGGTGTCCCACCGTTCACAGTGGCACAGTATCAGCCCGTCCCTTAATGAACTATTATCCAATAATAGCACTTGGGGAATATTCCTACCCCACCCCCGCCCCCCCGGGAGGGGTGGGGACTCATGAGTTCAGCTCCCATCATGGTGAGATTATTTGGTGTGTGGCTTTTATAATCAAATGGAACAGGGGATAGTGCTGGTCCCACAAGTGGCTAATCTTTTATTAACACCCACTAAACACTTTGCTCCCTATTAGCTTGTGGCTGTGAGTTCTGCAGGTTAATTGTTCATTCTGTTAAAAGTTTCCTGTTATGTGCTAAGCGTGTTTGCTTTCTTTTATTGGCTCAGCCTTTGTGCATGTTAGTCCAAGTTTCATATTTATTTTTTTAATTTGACTTTAAGTTATAAGCATGAGCAAATTAAGACAAATCCCCAGCCCCACATTTTAGACTGAGAATGAATGATCTGGGGACTAGGTCACTAACCTGGGATAAGAGCGTGCGTGCAATTCTCTGCAGCATCGCAGCCTTCCCGCATGACCTTGGGCAGCTCACATAGGCGTCTTGAGGAACTAGCCTAGCTTCACAAAGGGACTTAGGGGCCACTGAGCGCCTGCTGCCATCTAATGATATAGGCACCTAAATCCCCTAGGTGCCTAAGTTTCCACTGGTGAGCATTTGCAAAGCTGCCTAAATCCCCATGGCCCCGAATAGCTCAACCTCCCAAGCCATAGCAGGATTCTCAAACTAGGCGGCCCCTGGTCTAGCTCCTCGTGATGGGGGCAGGCATTCTTAGTGCATGCCTAGCCCCCACAAACAAGAGCTTGGTGTGGGACCTACCTACACGTACCATTATACCCAACAGCCCAGAGGTTAGGGCTCTCCGCTGGGAGGTCAGAGACCGGTTTTCAAATCTCCATGCACCACAATTTGAAGCAAGACCTTGAACTCAGGTCTCCCACCTCATTCTGATGACCTGCAGTGGCTCAAGAGCAACCTAAGGGCAGACTGTTACAAACCCGGGCACAAACCCCGAAGTAGCTATGAGCTCTAGACTTAGAGTTCACCACCCAGCTATGAAGTGTAAACATCTAAGGCACTCTAACAGCCTTAACATGGAGTTACAGAGCCCCCTTGGGTAGCCCAGTCTGTCTCGCATCCAAGTGAGCCGGCCTTTGTGATAGCTGGTCCCTTTCACCAAGCATCACAGCAATATTCAGGTTACTCCCAGGCCCAAAAGACCAGTCACTAACCCCAGCTCAATTGCACTTTAGACACGAAAGCCAATGCTTGTAGACAGGCCTTGGGTAAACTTTTATTATATAGGAAAAAGAAACAAGAGAGTTATTTACAAGGTTCAAGCAGGTGAACATACCCACACAAATGAGTTACAATCTTACGTTTCAAAAATTAATAGACATTTCTATAATCAGCAAGCTCGATATGTCCTTTAGGGCTAACCCAGGCCAAGCACTGGGGATCTCTTCCCTATGCCTAGAAAACCTTGCCCCCCAGAGCCCAAGCAGCATAGAGATACTCTTCCTTCTCGTTATGGGGGGAGGGAATTAAAACCCCTGTACTCTGAGTTGTGAACTCAGCTGATGGGAGGAATCCACTTGCATGACTCATCTTCACTGAAGGGAAGAGCAGAACAACAAAGTCTTTTGTCCTCTTTAATGTTCCACAATAGTCTGTCTGGGATTGACGGGCCTTCCCTGTTGGCCATGAGGTAACAGCTTCTGTTAGAGACCAGCACTTTACGCTAGTTCAGCGGTTTTCAACCTGTGGTCCATAGACTATGTCTAAGATTTCCAAAGGGGTCCACATCTCCATTAGACATTTTTTAGAGGTCCGCAAATGAAAAAATGTTGAAAACCACTGCACGAGTTCATGTCTCTCTCTTGTCCAGTGATTTACACTGTCACAGAGGCTCACAATACGAATGCTTGAACATTACCTTACAATATGGGACACAGATGTTGTAAATGAGATTAATGCAGGCAGCCACTCACAAGCATTCAATAAAGTCTAAACGCTTGGAACTTTAATACCTGCTTTAACAACACTAACCCACAGGTAAGCCAGCCTGAGTCCAGCGATGTGTTTGTCAGTGTTCCTGAGACATGGGTACCTCGCCATGAGCTGGCATCTGGCTGCCAGCGATACACGTGCCTAACCCCCACAAAAGATAGCTTGGGGTGGGACCTCCCAGAGGTTAGGGCACTCAGCTGAGAGGTCAGAGGCCTGTATTCAAATAACCACAATTTGAAGCAAGGACTAGAACCCAGGTCTTCCAACTGGTAGGGTTGTGCCCTGGGGTATTCTGGGATGGGGAAGCTCCCATGTTGAAGCCGTTCCACTTTGTATTAAATAGTCATTGGGCCACACAGCAAGCGAGAGTGACTCTATAGTTTGGTGTTTAGGGCATTTGCCTTGGCATGAAGGAGCAGCGGAGACCTGAACCTGCGTCAAGGACTGTTGAACTATTTATACAAAGTGGAGCAGCTTCAAACAGGAGAGATTAAGGAAGTCCCCCAGAGCACCCAACAGCCTGCTGGGTCAGGAGCTCACCTGGGATGCAGGCTGGGTCGGGAGCTCACCTGGGATGCAGGAGACCCAGCTTCAAGTCCTGGTAGTGACTATTTATACAAAATGGAACAGGCTCAACAAAAGAGATGGGGAGACACACACCCACACCTCCCCTCCCCCCTATTGGCTAGCCTAGGTGGTTTCTCTGCCATGGCTAACTCTCATCATGCCTGGGTGGCGAATACAGCGCAATGAATTCCACTGGATGGCAAGGTGCCTAAAAGGGAGGTGTTGCCATGCCCGAGTCCCTTAGCGGATCTGTTCCTTGCCCATACAGTGGGGATAACAGCACTGCCTTGCCTCCAGGGCTGCATGAGGATAAAGTCATAAAGATTGTGAGGTGCTCAGATGACAGTAATGGGGCCATGAAAGGTTTTTCATGCTTTACGACTCTTGGTCACAACTTTTTGCCTTGCTCTCCACTCAAATTAAAACTCCAGTCACTTTCACTTTTGTTCCTAGCCAGTTTCCCCTGCATCACTGGAAGCTCTTTGGGGCAGGGACTGTCTTTTTGTTCTGTTAGTACAGCGCCTTGCACAGTGGGGTGTCAGTCTCTGACTGAGGCTCCGAGGCACCACAGCAATAGAAATAAATGAACCACCATATTGGAATGATTAATATTTGAAATTAGTACAGGAGGCCACGAGACAGTAATTCAACCATAAATTCCTTTATTAATTCCAAAGGCCAAATGGTATTTTATACAATGGCTCTAAACATGCCTAACAGTCGAAAAACAAGCAATCCCTACACTCAATACAGTAACAAAGTATTCAGCGGCATGTGATCAGTATACTTACAAATGGGCCAGACCTAGGGAAAACCATCTCACGCTGGTGTGCTTCAGCATGATCTGACAAAGAACCTTCAGATCATGGCTCACTTTATACCCTTCAGCTAACTTACTAGCTTTAGCAAAAACTGAGTTTGAAGCAGCTTATCCTTGGGACTTTCCTCCCTCCAAGGTCTTCCCTTGTTATCTCCGCTCCCCTCCTCGCTTACCAGCAGAACCGTGGGAAGGTTTGTGCTGGTTTCTTTTATGACAGTTTTTGTCTCCTTACTGCAGCTCTTTATTTCATTAGTTACTTTTGGAACCGCACATCCTTCCCACACTACAAGTAATACCCATTATTCTCACAGTCTTCTTCTACTTGCTGATTGCGGCCACGAACTATAAAGCAAATGTGTCATTTTCTTAACCAAACTTTAATTCTTTCAATTTCAGAATTATCCCTACACACCACCTCTCCCTGCCACCCCCTATGAACTAGCCCTGGACATGCAAGACTCTGGCTTGGGGGCTGAGAATTCTCTCTGATCTCATGGAAAAAGCTCTGTTACTTTTATGTAAGATGGACCGAGATTTTTCAGAGCTGCCTAGTAGATTTGTACACCTAGATCCCATTAACAGGAGCAGGGCATCCAAATCCAACATACAGAAAGGAAGTAATGTCACATGGGCAGGACTCGTAGGTTCCACACCCACGTCATGTCCCCAACCCACACCAACACTTGCCCACCTCTAAGTAACATGACACCTACGGGAGAATTGTCAGTGTGAGGGATTTAACCCAGGACCTTTTGGATCCCAAACCAGGAGCGTTCACTGGCTGTACAGAAAGACCCAAGTGTGCTCAGGCTGTGACGGACACCCCTATGTAATCCAGACACTAGAGGGGGCTGGAGAGCCACACTCTATGCTTCGTTTAGCCCAATAGAGAATGGGAGAATACTGATCTGGTGCAGAGAGGTCCCTTGTTTGTAAAGCCCTCCAGCAGTGCCTAATAGGAACAGGCCCCCTAGCTCCAAGCAGCCCCTTTCCCAGTTGTCACCGCACGCCTGCATCCACAAAGCAGAACAGACATAAGCTGTAAACACTTGCCCCATTTGTGACCAAGTGCAGTACTGAGGCCAGGTGGCTGCAGATGAAAGGCACGTGGAAGCCAGTTCTTTCAAAACCTGCCCGGAGCATCTCCTGGGGTCACATAGCTCTGGGGCTCTGAGCCACCCCAGCGCAAACACCAAAGTGCAGCCCTTGAGCTGCTGTGGATGCAGAGCAAGTGCCATTCAGGTCACACTGGGGAGGTGCAAGAGAACGGGAGCCAGAATGGAAGTGGGATCTTTAATCCGGACAGCACCAAGCGGCTTTACAAAGCAGGGCCTCGCGCCCTGGGCTGGCTCCTTATACAGCAAACAAAACTGCTCCCCTTCCAGACGCGGGGCTCTCTTGACAAATTATAAAATCCATCAGTGCCCAGCATGATCCCAGTGGATGTGGTGGGGCGGAGTAACCATTAGAGGAAGCGAGCACCGTGGTTACCCAGCAGAACAGCACAAGTAGCATAATAAGGAAAGGCCTGGCAGGGTTCAAATGGAGCCCGGCCCAAGGGTCCCCCGCTCCGCTCTTCACAGCTCCGAAAACAAGGGCTGCTCCCGCACGCTGGCGCTGCTGCTGCTCAGGGCCACAACAGGACTGAGGCTGGGGCTGAAGCAGGGGAACTGGGCGCTCACAAAGAAAAACGGGATGTGGCTGATCCTCCCTGTAGACCAGCACTGAGGGGGTGGGGGAGAGAGAGAGAGAAACATGAGCACAGGGCTTGCGCAACACACCCCAAATCCCAGCCAACTAGATCCCTGTTCTGCTGGAAATTAGACCCACGTCCCAGTGCCAACAGAACCCGAGTTAAGAACGGCCAGACTGGGTCAGACCACAGGTCCATCTAGCCCAGTGTCCTGTCTTCCTACAGTGGCCAGTGCCAGGCGCTTCCGAGGGAACGAACAGAACAGGGCGATTTGAGGGATATATCCCCTGTCGTCCAGTCCCAGCTTCTGGCAGTTCGAGGCCTAGGGACACCCAGCGTATGGGGCTGTGTCAGGATAACAGCACCTCCCATTCTCAGTGCCAGCAGATCTCAAGGCCCCTGAGGCCCTCATGGGGGCTGGTAATGACGCCTCCCCCCCATTTCAATGCTAACAGATCCAGGGTTAGGGTAACGGCACCCTCAAGCCCCATTCCCAGCAGCCGCAGAGCCATCCCACCTCCGCTGAAGCCGTGTGGTTTGGGGAGATCTTTCCTGCTCCTCCGTCGTGCAGGGCCTGTGAGGGTGGGTGGCTGGGGGGAGGATGACTGTTTAGAAAGCCTCCAGCTTCAGAGTCTCAGCTGGGAGCCCCCTCCCTCCCCCCAGGAGATCCCGAAAAACAAGGCTGCACTCACCACAGTCAAGAGGGCCCCTTTCTTAAAGCAGGGATGGAAAGCGATCAGCTGCGGCTCAGCCCCTGGCTCCCCCTGCAGGAACCCACTAGGGAAGAGAGAGGGGACACGGTGACTTGGTGACCAATTGATCTCCTCACTCCTCCAGTGATGGGCTGCGAGCAACAGGACCTGGGATCCCTTCCCCACCCCTTCACGCTGCGGGAGGCATCGTTACACTGCCACCAGAGCGCGTCAAACTATTCATACCACACCAGCAAGGTGCAGCCACCTCTGGGGTGGAGAGCAAACAGAGAGGGAGTAGGGACATTTGGGCCTTAGGGCCTGGGGTAAATCCCCTTACCCCGACCCTTGTACAGTGCTACGGGATCTTTAACATTGATGTGACACGGACAGGATCTGGGGATTTGATGGTCTTGTGTGCAGGTGTGGATCTTTCACACGTCATGGTGTTCTGGGGCCTTAATCATAGAATATTAGGGTTGGAAGGGACCTCAGGAGGTCATCTAGTCCAACCCCCTGCTCAAAGCAGGACCAACCCCAACTAAGTCATCCCAGCCAGGGCTTTGTCAAGCCTGACCTTAAAAACCTCCAAGAAAGGAGATTCCACCACCTCCCTAGGTAACCCATTCCAGTGCTTCACCACCCTCCTAGTAAGAAAGTTTTTCCTAATATCCAACCTAAACTTCCCCCACTGCAACTTGAGACCATTACTCCTTGTTCTGTCATCTGGTACCACTGAGAACAGTCTAGATCCATCCTTTTTGGAACCCCCTTTCAGGTCGTTGAAAGCAGCTATCAAATCCCCCCTCATTCTTCTCTTCTGCAGACTAAACAATCCCAGTTCCCTCAGTCTCCCCTCATAAGTCATGTGCTCCAGCCCCCTAATCATTTTTGTTGCCCTCCGCTGGACTCTTTCCAATTTTTCCACATCCTTCTTGTAGTGTGGGGCCCAAAACTGGACACGGTACTCCAGATGAGGCTCACCAATGTTGAATACAGGGGAATGATCACGTCCCTCAATCTGCTGGCAATGCCCCTACTTAGCCCAAAATGCCATTAGCCTTCTGTATGGGCTGTATGGATTGGTGTTGTGGAGAGGGGGTTGTTACTCTTATGGGTGTCTCTTATTTCCTGCCTTGCAAGGAGAGTTTTTTGTTTTGATTTTAAAATAGGAACTCGGTGGAAGCCACCCTGCCAGCAGGAAAAAGGACCAGGATGGCAGGGATTGCTCCATCGGAGATGCAGTCACTTCTGGGGCACAACACAGCACCCTAACATTTCCTTGAGAGTTTAGGGCAGGAACCACAGAATGCAACATCCAATGAGGGGAAATTTAGGGCTTGATCCTGCAATGTGTCCTCAGTGATTAGTGCCAACGGAGGGTACTCAGCACCACGAGGCAGAATGGAATTACACAAGCTCGAATTCGACCAGGACACCAGAGGCCACTCCCTGATCTCACCTCAGCATCATGGATCTTTAAGGGCCAGCCAGTCAGGATCCCTGTTTTATGACTCACTTGAAAGACAGCACCCGTGGTGACACAGTCCACCCTAGCACCACCTCTGGGTGGTAGCTCAGTGCCGATTCAGAGGGAATGGCACCAAGAACCCAGCACCCTCTCCAGTATCACGCCAAGCTTGGATGCATTTTTCTAAAGGACATGACCTCACGCCAACAGAAGCTCTGGGCTTGACGCAGGAGTTACTGGGTGAAATTCTCTGGCTTGTGTTCTGCAGGAGGTCAGACTAACTAATCAGAACGGTCCCTCTGCTGCCTTTAATCCTATGGCATTGAGGGCTACTCCTTAAGCCACCAGTACGCACCATGGCAGGAGTTCGAACACAGGGCTGTTGCGGGTACGAAACACAGCAACAATCGTCCTGCTTTCAGGGGTTTCGGGATTCCCTGCAAAGAGGAAAAAAGCAAGTGAACAAGACGTTGGCCATTTTTCAGACACAAGTGGTGCCCAGGAAATCACTATTTGTCAGCAGGTCCCAGCAGGAATCTGGGGTGATTCTTCATTAATGAGCTTCACTTCACCTGTACCATTATCCAAAGTGATCACTGTGGCCCGGACGCTAATCAGATCCCCTTTCTCTGCACTGGATCAGAGCCAGAGAGCCTCACTTTCGTCAGAACGTTATTGACCAGTGACTGGGACAAGCAATGCCTAGGGCGGGGTTTTCAACCACACTTAAGTGATCAAAAGCCAGTGGGTCTTGTACTCTGTGTTAGGTGCTGAATCAGAGAAAGCCAAGAGTGATTCTAGCCTAGGACTTGGGAGACCTAGGTTCAAGCCCTGCTCTGCCACAAGCTTCCTGGGTGACCTCGGCCAAGTCACTTGGTCTCTGTGCCTCAGTTCCCTGCCCATAAAATGGGAATAATAGCCATGCCCTTCTTCACAGGGGTGTTGTGAGGGTAAATACAGTAAAAATTGTGGGGTGCTCAGATGCTATGGTAAGGGGGGGAATCTACGGTACTTATCTGGCCCTCTTTACCATTGTGGGGGTGCTCAGATACAGTCTTTACCTATTTATCCTCGCTCCCTGCCACGAGACGTTATCCCCACTGGACAGAGGGGGAATCACGACATGCTAGGTTCCCCAAGGGAGTCCACAGAGCAGGGAATTGAACCTGGGTTCCCTCAGTCCCAGGCTGGGGCGCTAACCACTGCACCATCCTCTCGCTCCACTTTTGAAAATCCCACCCTAAGACGCCTACAACTGAAAGATTGGGGGAGGGGGGGTGGGAAATGTGTGTGTTCCTCCTAGTTTATCAGTGGCTTTACACAGCACGCTGGTGGAGGCAGCTTCCCTTGGACAGACAATTTCCCCATCATTTGTGGGGTCTTTCACAGGGCAATAGAGGAAAGAAGCGTTTTTAAGACAGAAGATGGCGGATTCTCATGACTAAGGCCACTTGACACTGCTCAAGTGGTATAAAGGGGCATTGGAAGGGATGAAAAGTGTCCTCAGGCCAAGGTGCGGGTAAACTCCCCGGCCAGGCCCTGGGCAGGAATGACACCACAGTTTGTCCACATTCCTGACAGCCCTCTTTGGAGTTGCACGAGCTCTCTGAGGGGGTTGGTACAGAGCTATCCCATTGGGTTCCTGCTCTCTGAATAACAAAGGTGGCTCATTTATAACCAGCCTTTGAAGAGAATCCCAGCCGCCTCCCGCTTGCTGCTTTAAAATGCAGATTATTTTAAGTCTCTCAAGCATGCAATTTTATATGCTTGGATGCCTGCAGGACACACCTGCTCTCACTCCTGGGCCAGCTGGGGGGGTGGCATAGCACAGGGCGCCAGTCATGGCTTGTCACTGTACCATGCGTCCTGACCGGCCCTGGTTTTGCAGCTACTCCTCTTCTCTACTGAGCTTCCTACACAGCACACAGGACTTCTCTGCATGAGATCGGGGACTGGATGGTTCAGTGGGTTGGGAATGGCCTCTAGGTTGTAGGTCTAATGGCAGCAACAGAGCATTCCCCGGTTACCCCTCTGGTTATTGGTATAGCAGATCAGAACCGGGGCCCCATCTGGGGCGTTGTATGAACACGCAGGTCCCTGCTCCAGAGAGTTTACAGGCTCATCTGAAAGAGGCAGCTCATGCAGGTGAAGGCTGAGACCCAGTGGCAGGGTGAAGCCCACCCTATTCCTGGCCTGCGAGTAGAGGATTTGGGGGGCAGGAGCAGCTGTTTAACACAGATGGGGAAGAGGCTATTCAGGTGAGGATCAGCTCTGGAGTGAGAGGAGACCACCCACTTCTCTCAGCTGGAGCTAGCTGCACCACCCTTGGAATCACAGACTATCAGGGTTGGGAGAGACCTCATGGGGTCATCTAGTCCAACCCCTGCTCAAAGCAGGACCAATCCCCAGACAGATTTTTGCCCCAGATCCCTAAATGTCCCCCTCAAGAATTGAACTCACAACCCTGGGTTTAGCAGGCCAATGCTCAAACCACTGAGCTATCCCTTCCCCTTCTGCATGATGCAGCTCCCACTCCCTGGTTAACCTCACATGGGGTGGGGGAACCAAGTTACACAAGCCAAGGTCGCTTAGGAAAATCCCATTTGGGGGCGAGGGGGTTGAAGGGCTTAAGGTTTTACCTCTGATGAGAGCCGCAAGCCTCTCGCCGCTGGGGTCCCAGACCATGGCATGCACTTCCCCTCCGATCCTGAAACCAACGCACCGGGCATTAGACAGCAGCATCAATGTGAGCTAGGCTCAGCTGCCAGGAACCTCGCTCGCTAGATGGGCTTGGAAGAAGCCCATGCCCCACACACCGTTTCCTTCCAAGCGAGCTCTGTTCCAAGCTGCCTTTTGCATCACAGAATTTCTGTCCTATGGGGACAGAGTAGCATAACTGGGATACACCCCCGTCTTCCACCCTTGGCCTTGGCTTGGGACCCCTTCGGATGAAGTCACAAGTGACACAAGTCAGCTGAGCTCAGCTTAGTTCGTCTGCTACATGCAACCTATACCTAGTTCTCCCACCTCAGGGATTACCCAGAATTGCAGTCACCTAGGATTGCTGCAGGCCGTGACTGAGCTCATGGGTGCAGAGATAAGAACCTGGGAAGAGAGAGAAAAGGGCCTGCCTGTTTTACACCAGGCTCTGCGCAATGATATCGATCTACCGTTGAAATCACCCACAAGAGAGATTGGGAGAGAAACATGTCGTGCAAGCACTGAGTGATGCCCCATACACAGATCTGAGTATCTCAAGTAACATACACAGGGGCTATTTTAAGGCATCGGCACCTGCATCTTCCATTCAGGGCCTGAATCTTTGGCACTGTCCCCCCACTCGCTCTGCCCACCGCAGCCCTGTAGCAGGGCCAGCTGCCCTGCTCTCACCTCTCCTCCCCATACAGCGTCTCGAAGGTGGTCTCGGACAGGTCTGCCACAATAGAAGCTGTTTTTGATCCTCCTACTTGCCCTTGCATCTCGCCTGGAATGGAAGAGACCAAGACAGGTGAATTCTGCCACTCAGCTAGTAGCTAAAGTTGCCGAGTCGTGTGGAACAACGTGGATCCGTGGAATCAGCTTGTGGCTTCTGTGTTGGCCCCCATGTCCTAACCAAATCCCATGACGGGTTGTTCCGTTCTGCCTCCCTAAATTGCCACTGCACTTCAGCTTGGATGCAGGATTCTTCTCTGTTTCCTGGCCTAAGCCACTGCATATGTTGCTGTGCACTGTTGAAAAGAATCCTTGCCCCACCCCAGAAGCAGCTGCACTGTGGTTTAGACTACAAAGGGGAGATTTTCACAGTTTCAGAGAGGAATTAGGTGCCCAATTCCCATTGAGAGTCCATAGCAGTTGGACACTTAACTCCCCTTTGTATTTCTGAAAATCCCCCCCCCCCCCAACTAGGCTAATGACCAGTAACTCAGAGCTACAAGCATCGTGAAATTCACAAAGAGTTCTGTCCCCCCACTAGTGTGTGCCTCGGACACGTAGCACTACAGGATGTTATGGCACAATGGGCTGGATTAAGGAGGGGGAGAGGAAACAGAATGAAAGATGAGCCCAAACACTGGCTTTGGTTGGTGTGTTTCATAGTCAGCACCCAGGGTGGGCTCACCAGACCAGCAGGAAATTAACAAGAGCACACAGGAGGAAGGCAAAGCTCTGGCTGGAAAGCATCCGGGAGGCCAGTGTGGCTATAGGAATCAGACAATTCGGTGGAATCGGCTATCTCCTCTTGGAAAGTTTACCATACTCACCACTGTACTCCGAGAAGGACAAGGAGTAAATGACCGACTCCCCCAGGACCGTAAAGAGCAAGCGGCTGCCGTCCGGGCTCCAGCACCCTGTCTGTGGGAAGGAAAGACGCGCGTTTAAAACCACACCGTGAGAATGACTTGTAACAACAACAGGGCACCTTTTATCCTCATAACTAACCACTCAGCTTCCCCTTAACGGTCATGGAAGTCATGTGGCTAACTCAGCTTTTAAGTGCTCAACTCGCACTGCAGGGGGAGTTTAGGTAGGGAGAGTGGCATTCAGCCAGGACCCTGGGGCGGATATCCCAGGGTGCTTTGGATCAGAATTGGGGTATTTAATGAGCACAGATCGAGGCCTTCGTTTGACCCTGATGTAAGGAAAAGTCTCTCCACCCCACACAGGAACAAGGGACGACTCCATCATGTGATAGAGGTAAAGTCTGGGGTGCTGGGGATGAAGCACTGGTCTTATGCCGCTGTGATCCAGCTCAAGGTTTTTTCTGTGAATGCGTTTTTAGCTGACTTAATGGAGCTTGCCAGCTGGAAACAAGGAGAGGCAGCCGCGTCCCCAGCAGGCTCTCCACAGACCTCTGGCAAGGGGTTGCCTGTGACAGCAGGGGGCTGGAGGTTGATGGGTCTTATCTGTTCTTACCCTAGAGGATGGGAGTCCACACAAAAAAACAACAACACTACCCCACTTTGGATCAAATTCCCAGTTTTGCATCAGGAAGGGCCCAGCCCATCTGGAGAACAAAGCAGAGAGCTAGTCTCAAGAGGGTGATGGTCAAGGCAGGGCGCCTCACTGCATCTGCTCCTGTGTACCTGGTACGTAGCAGGGCAGTGAGGGGGAAAGGACCTCACAGTTCAGCTGTTTGTCCTTTAACCTTCACAAGAGCAATCTACTCGGTGCTTTCCCCTTCACTAGCGTGGAATCAGGAACAACCCTCCACCCCACATACCTGGCAGCGCCCCTTGATGGTGGGCCACCTCTCGCACGTCCACATTTGAGCTTCCCAAACCCTGGAAGAGACCATAGGTCGGGGTGAATGAAAGCGCAGACTCACTGTATTTCCAGCATCTCCATTTCAATTCTTGTGTTAGACCCAAGATCATCGAGAGACAAGGGTTAATCCAGTTCTGCTTCTCTGAGAGGGACCAAACAACTGCCATCAGCAGGCAGACAACATGGTCTTCACCGATGCTTGGGGTGTGCAAACTCCTTGATTCTGCCTCTAACTAAGCCACAGAACAGCTGCTTCCTTGAGGAGTGTGAGGCTTTGCTAAAGTTAGAACATTTTGGAGCCCCTTGGATGGCAGGAGCTAGGCGGGGGGGGGGAGACGTTACTGGTTGGGGAGGAGGGGAGGGACAGACAGATACAGCAAAGCCATGGGACTCTGAAGCAGAAAACCTGCAGTGATGGAGGGCTTGGAGATGCCGTCACCCAGATACCACCTGCCTGCAGCAGAAGAATGAAGAACTTCTCTGTTAACTTTCACCCCCACATCTCAAGGCACTTTACAGATGAAGACTGACAACCCCCTCTAAGATGGGTCCATAACATCCTCTCCATTTTACAGATCAAGGTGCAGACACAGGTGACTTGCCCCAGTCCAAAGGTGGGAACAGAACATGACTCCCAGTCCCATGCCCTAACCACTAGATCACGCTCTCACAGGTCCCAGCACTCCTCATCCTCACCTGAACACTGCTGAGGGTGTGGCTGCTAGCACCTTGCTGCCATCAGGTGACCAAGCAAGGTAAGTGACTCCACCCCCTCCAAACCACTGCAGCGGGACGCAGTTTTCCGTGGACACATCCCACACCTAGAGAAGGAGAGAAGGGTGGGGGAGAGATGAGGGTAACATACTGGAAAAACAAGTCTGTCTTCCCTGCTGTCTCCCTCCAACCCATAAACAGCTGGGAGTTGGAAAGGATCTGTGCACCTCTGCTCGCTATCTTCCAGGCAGGCTCTTGCTATGCCAGGAAGAGCATGACAGACACCGGCCATGCTTTTCAATATTAAGCCGTCACAGTGTCAGTAGAGGCCTCAGCCTTGCAGCACATCAAGGAGGGAATGGTTTTCCCCCGGTCAGAGCAGTATTTTAGTCCCTTTGGTCATGTCAGAGACCAATTCCCACTCTGCAGCTCTCTACAACCTTTCTGGAAGTTGTGAATCGCACACAGTGGATTTGAGCATCAGGAATTAACTTTGGTGGCACAAGATCACAGGCACACAGCTCGCCCCATCCCTAAGCTCAAGCACGCTGCCTCCAAACCACCCAGGTCCTGTTGGCCCAGGAAGCAAACCGCAGAATCTAGAAATTGAACCTGGGGATTCTTCACAGCAGCAGACAGGCTGCCCCCAGGCCAGGAGGTTTTGGCCCTAAAATTCTATCAGGGTGTCCAGATATTACTCACAGACAGGGCTAGCTTGAGCCAGGCACACACTCTTTGCCCAACGCACCTCAATCCTGACCCATAGCCCCTTTGCTATTCAAGTCCTAAGCACCTCCCACACAAAGTGCTGCCAACGGCCCTTAACCCTGACCCACCGTCCTTGCTATTCCCGTCAGTTCCCTGCCCCCCATGCCTCGCAGCAGCACTGCCACTGCCCCTCATTCCTGACCTGCAGCTCCCTGCTGCTGCAGTGCGAGGTTTCTGAATAGAGGTGGCCGACTGCTGCCAAACGGAGCTGGGTGGAATCGAACCCAGGCCTGCAGCGACACTATCATCATATGTGCAATCTTGGACTCCATCTCAGGGTCTCTATAAACCGAGGCCAGTCTAGAGCGGGGGAGCTCAGATTCTCAATCTTAATACGGAGATTGTCTCCCGGGCACCTCTGGGCCAGGCGTGAGTGCAGAGGCCCCCTTCCATCCCGTTCTCCATCACACAGCATTCTTGGGGCAACTACATGGAAGAGTAAGATCAGGACCCAATTTAATGTATTTTTAGCTGTTTTAATAGAGTTTGGCAGCTGGAAACTAAAAGGCAGCGATGTCGCCAGCAGGCTTTCAACGGCCCTCTGGCAAAGGGTTGCCTGTGATGGCAGGAGATTGGACTTGAGGACCCAGGAGGTTCCTTCCAGTCCTCTGCAGCACACCAGCAGTATGAGGCTACCTTGAGCACCACTGGTCTAGGGAATAATGCTAACGTGACCTACGTTAGCATCTATATAGATCCTTGTCCCTCTCTAGTGGCTGGGCCGCAGAGATGTGAGCCCACTACTGCCTCTTACTTAGCGGAGTTGGATTTGTAGGCCAGGCAGTAGAAACCCATGCTTTTAGATCCAGACATCGCAGGTTCAAATCTTGGGGATGACCAACTACAGCAGGGGTGGCCAACCTGAGCCTGAGAAGGAGCCAGAATTTACCAATGTACATTGCCAAAGAGCCACAGTAATATGTCAGCAGCCCCCACCCCAGCACCTCCTGCCCCCTGGCAGCCCTGCCAATCAGCACCTCCCCCTCCTTCCCCGTGCCTCCTGCCTGCTGCGGGGGAAGCAGTGTACAGGAGGCTCTGCGATGGAGGGGGGTGGAACAAGGGCGCAGCAGGCTCCGGGGAGGGGGCGGGAGGGGCAGAGTGGGGGCAAGGCCTGGGGTTGAGCAGTGGAAAGTTGGCACCTGTAGCTCCAGGCCCAGAGTCAGCACCTATGCAAGGAGCCGCATATTAACCACAGATTGGCCACCCCTGAACTAGACACACAGTTATTAGTGCTAGTTACTAGTGGAAACCCATTGAAACAGTCACACTCATCTCCTAGGGCATGTGATTGAGAGTTCAGCGGGTCTTGCTGTTCCATCCAGCACCGAGTGGTAGAGACACCCCAGCCACTCCCCGCATTACAGGAGGACACAGGCAGAGAGAAACGTAGGAGGGCCCTCCTTACTCACAAGCATGGCGGTATCAACAGGCGAGGCCGAGAGCAGCATCTCTCCACTGGGGGCCCATGCCAGGCTGGTGACGGGACTGTGACCGGGGTAGGCAAGCACCTGGGCACAGCCAGAGGAAGGCCTGAAAGAGAGGAGAGAGAGACCTTGCTAGTAGGGTCCAAACTGCTCTGACATGTTCCAGGGAGGCTGCTAATTTCTAGGGGACATGTAGCCACATCTGTCTGTGTCAGGTGGCTTGTTGATGGGTAGGTGGCTTTGATCCAAACACCGTTGAACTGGGCTCTTAATGACAGCATGCTGCTCTGCTCACCCAGGTGATGGGTATCAGAGGGGTAGCCGTGTTAGTCTGAGTCTGTAAAAAGCAACAGAGGGTCCTGTGGCACCTTTAAGACTAACAGAAGTATTGGGAGCATAAGCTTTCGTGGGTAAGAACCTCACTTCTTCAGATGCAAGTCAGGTGATGGGTGTACTATAACTACTAGACACATGGGATTCTGGCCCAGGCTTTAGAGGCAGCCTCCTTGCCGGCAGAGAGATGCCGGCAACATGGGAAGAGACCACAGGGGCACGACCATGTCTCCAGGTGGCTGGTTACCTGGTGGAAAGGGAAGTAGGATCCAAGTGCCAAAGCAAGACACAGCTCTGGCATGCCACGGCGAGGATGGATGCACACAGTGGCTTCCACGCCATCGAGGCCACATTCCTCTGCAAGCGGTGTTTCAGGATGGGGACCGTCGCGCTGCAAGAGAGGAGAGAGGGGTGTGACAAGGCAGCATTCACAGCATCAGCAAGGTAACCGGCACCTCTGGTATCTGCCTCTGCCTAGTCATCAGCTCCAGATACTCTGCCTGGGTTGATGCCCGGGATGTGCATACAGCATAGTTCTATGAGACCTAATACAATCTTCTATTTCTTTAGCACCTTTTGTCCTAAATGGAGAGGAAGGATTGCCTTGGGGTTAGGGAACCAGCCTGGACTCTAGAGACATAGGTTCGATTCCCTGTTCTGACATAGGCTTCCTGGGGGATCTTGGGCAAGACACTTGGTCTCTGTGCCTCCGTCACTAGGTATAATAGCACTGCCCTGCCTCACAGGAAGGTTCTGAAGGTAAACACGTTGTAGATTATGAGGCACTCAGGCATTGCGGTAATGGGTATAACCAAAGAGAAAGAAATGATCCCAAAGCCCGTACACATGCCACTGAAACATGGCCCCCTCTGGGTGGGAGGAACGCAGCAACTGTGTCATAGCATGCACACCAGCTCAGTGCAGGAGGTAAAGAATACCAGGGGGATTTAAAGCAGGCGGGACACGGCCGAATTTGACCAGAACACATTGATTCTTGGGAAAAGTTCTAACTACCTGCGGCCAATTCACAGATCCCCCAGGAGTTCAGTTTTATACCTAATCTGAAAGACAGCGCCCCCTAGCACCACGCCAGGTCACGACTGACTGAGTGCAGCGCGGGTGTACTGAATTGCCAATCCCACTTCCAGCAAGATGTTGGGTTTTCTTTGGAGGAGTCCCCTGAAGTAATGACCAGGCCCTGACACTGCTAAGCCTGGGGGAACCTGACAATATCACAACCGAGGGTGGCAGAGCTGCAACGTTCAGAGGCTCAAGAGGACAGAGAGATGGCAGCGCACCTAGTTTGTTTAAGCGGCGTGCCCGGTGCTGCCTGCAGCCTACTCCCAGCAGTTAATGGGGGTGATTTGGCACTTGCTGGCATGAAAGTCCAGCCGGGGGATGCAGCCTGCAAAGGGGAAAGCCGGCAGCATTTCACAATGAGCTGGGAGAGTCTTCTTTTAAGGATGCCTTTACTTGCCAGCTGGGACCCACCTGGAGAGTGGGGAGACCTGCAGGAGAGACGAAATTCAATGGATGCCCAAGAGGGAAACGCGAGAGACCTCCCCTATCTAAGCCTCTCGCAGGCCAGCGGGAGACAGTCTGAACCTGCCCTGCCTGCTGAGCCATCACCTGGGAAGAGGGACAAATTCCAGGCTGCACGTGAGACGAGCTCTGCTCTCCTACTGCTTAGCCCAGCCACCTAGTGACGTGAATAGGGAAACATGGATTTCTTAAGTGTTAACCTGAAGACGAATGGATCAGCCCTTACTGACAGCTGCTGCTTAGTTTGGCGACGCGATAGGTGCGCTATTAACAATTCTGGGCCTTGGTCTGAAGGAGGCCTCCGTGCCAGAGGAGCTATGCTGGCTTCAAGAGACTGCGGGAACATACCCGCTCTCCAGGGAACATGGGGTCAGTGCTGGGCCCCAACACGCCCCTTGCACAGGTGCTCAGAGGAAAGGTTTGTATGAGGAGCTGGGAGAAGGACCCCCATGGGGCATCCTCAGTTACAGGACTGGTCTGAACCCCAAGCTGGGGAGTTTTCTGCTCAGCCACTTATCTGACACTCTGGCTCCTGTCACTAACACTCAAGGGCCAGGCCTTGCCGACAGCGGACGTCACCCAGCTGCAGTGTCATTCCACCTTTCCTCACTATGCACAGCGAGTGCTGTTTTCCTTCCGATGGGATGGCCTGGATCAACAGAGGCGGGAAACGGAGAGAAAACTGGCTAGCCGCAGGAGCCGGAGATTTTACTGAACGTCCGATAAGAACTTCTGCTATGGAGTGAGAAATTCTGGGAACACAAAGAACCAGCTAAGAGCTGAAGACGTGCGTGTGATGGAAGGACTGGCTAGCTCAGGGATCAGAGGTGGGTTACGGAGGGGATGCAGAGTCTTTGGGACATACTGGAGAAGCATTTGGAATGGTGGCATTTGGTGCCAAAAGACCCAGAGCTGAAGTGCTGCCTTCACTGGAACTGCCTTGACTGTCTTGGTGCCAAGGAACTATCCCAGGGCACCACCTTCTCTCCCTGCGTGGCAGGGCAGGGCATAAGGGCTCTGTAGGCTGGGTAAGGAGCCTGGAGGCCTGAAGGCACCTGAGGGGGAAGAAGGGAACTTCCTAGGGAATCTCAGCCTCATGCTCAGAACAAAGACATTGGCTGCAGCCACCAAGGTTCTAACAGGCTTCACAGCAGAAGGGCCTCGCACCGACAGCGTCATTCTAGGAACCTGACCTGCTGAACTAGAGACGGGTCTGACAACAACTGTGCTGCGACAGAGGTCCACCACACAGGACGCAGACTCCCCTCTCGCTGAGGACATCAGTTTGCAGCTTCCATGGGGCCCACAACAAACCTGAAACCAACCTCAGTCTTCGTGCGCACTGGCCAGAGCATGAGAGTCAGCTTAGAACCCTGAATCAAGGGTTCAGGAGCAGACGACAGCCTGTCTGGACCCTGCACGGAGCTGCAGCCTTTGTGCACGGGGACTCCTGCAGCAGGAAGGCTCAGAGCCTTGCCTCATGGTCCCGTGGGCTCGGGGTGTGACCCTGCCAAGAGATCTCTGACAAAGGCAGACTCAGACACAGCGCCAGATTCCTGTCCCTGCAAGGTACGGCAGGAAGGACTGGAGACAACTGAGGCTGCACCTCCCTTTCCCAAGCTCGGCCAGCAAAGCACTGCTCAGGCGGCCTCTGAGGAGTGCCGTTTCCAGTAGCTTGTGGCTCAGGCTCCCAGACCCCAAGAACGGGGATACATAGAGGTCTTTGTAGCAGCAGTGGAGGTGTCCGTACCTCACTGCATGAGCCCTCGCCATCACACAAGCTTTGCCACCCCAGTGGGTCTTTAGTCTGCCAGTGGCAGCACGAGCAACCTGACACTCCTCACCTGTTTGTGTTGTAAACTCGGATGGAGTCGTCCAAAAGGGCCACCGCAAACTTGCTGGTGTGAGGGTGCCAGGCAAAAGCCCGGATGGAGCAGCCAGCCCTGGAAAAACAATGAGCAAGAGAGAAGGGATGACACGGCGTTACACAGCCACAAGGGTCTGAAAGGCTGAGATGCAAAACAGGATTGCCCGATAGTAAAGACAGTAAGGGATGGATTAGAAAAGGTGAAGTATCAGGTTCAAACCCCAGCAAGGTCTCCTCAAACCTTCATCCTTACCAAGAGGAGTAACCTTTGAGAATTCAATTGGTCTAAGGGGCGCTATGGTCCCTAGCAAAAAAAAATAAAAAAAAGTCTCACTACTCCCTCACTGTTATGCAGTGCAATGTGCAACCCCCTCAGTTCCACCCCAGAAGTAGCTGGATTTCAGTAGTGCTGTACACATGCATTAGGGAGGAAGGATGGGTGCTAGCCTAGGACTCGGAAAACCTGGGTTCAGTTTCTTGCTCTGCCACACGTGACCTTGGGCAAGTCACTTAGTCTCCCTGTTCCTCAGTTCCCCATCGATAATAACACTGCCCTTCCTCATAGGACTGCTGGAAGGATAAATACATTGCAGATTGTGAGATTCTCAGATACTACTGTCGTGGGGCCAGATAAGTACCACCGAAAGCATACTCAGAGCTTGAGAGATGTCAGGACGAAGAGCACCATGTCAAATATAGCAATATCCTGGAGAATGCCTTTCCGAATCTGAGTGCTGGAACATCAAGGCCTGTCTCCAGCAGTGCCCAATGTGTACAACTGGACTGTGCACAAAATTGAACAAGCCTGAAGAGGGACTCCCACAGGCTGCAAGTCTGATCTACTAGCTTCATGGACACAAGACGGCTGTTGATTCCCCTTAGTCCCGCAAGGGGTGACACAGCCACAGGAGGGCGGGCTGGAGCCAAGTCCCACTTTCTCGTATGAGTGGTAGCAGAGAAAACCCAAGACAATACCAAGAGCCCAGGTGGAGTGTGCAGCACTGACAATTAGAAAGTTCGCTATCCGACTTGTAAAGGGAGTAAGGTGGATCCAGAAGCCCTTGGGAGTAAACGCAGGACTACAGGGTCAGTCTAATTTAGGCACTTTTCAGAGTCTGTGGTCCTCCCTGGCCCTCTGCTATCAGAATATCAGGGTTGGAAGACATCCCTGGAGGTCATCTAGTCCAACTCCCTGCTTAAAGCAGGACCAACCCCAACTAAATCATCCCAGCCAGGGCTTTGTCAAACCGAGCCTTAAAAACCTCAAAGGATGGAGATTCTACCACTTCCCTAGGTAACCCATTCCAGTGCTTCACCACCCTTCTAGACCTCCCCCACTGCAACTTGAGACCATTGCTCCTTGTTCTGTCATCTGCCACCACTGAGAACAGCCGAGCTCCATCCTCTCTGGAACCCCCCTTCAGGTAACTGAAGGCTGCTATCAAATCCCCCCTCACTCTTCTCTTCTGCAGACTAAATAAGCCCAGTTCCCTCAGCCTCTCTTCATAAATGATGTGCCCCAGCCCGCTAATCAATTTCACTGCACTCCGCTGGACTCTCTCCAATGATCAAATCCCTCCCGTTCCCAAAAAAACATTTATTAGTTTAAGGGAGAGAGGCTGAAACTGTGCCACCAACTGTGTGACCTTGGGCACATCACTCCACCTCTGGGCCTCACACATACCACAGGGATAACACCACGCAGGTGGTTAGATTTAACATTTCCTGGGGTGCACAGCAACCAAGACGCCTGTTAGGTGCAGAAGTAGGATCAAACTGAAACCGCAAGAGGCAGTAATTCCATGCAGGCATTGTGGCTCAGTGGCCAGCCCATTGGGCTGGGACTCAGGAGACCTGGGTTCTAGTCCCACCAGAGCTGAGTAACCTTGGGCAAGTAATTTCCTCCTCGATTTTTCCATCTGTAAATTGGGCTAATGATCCTGATCTCATACTTGGAGCTCTATGGATTAAAAGCACGGCTACGAGTTAGGTGCTCATCTAAGGCCCTCATTGCTGTAGTACCCAAGCAGCTCACTATCTTTCAGGCAGTGCCATTAACCCCATTTTACAGATGGAGAACCGAGTCAAAGTGACCTGCCCAAGGCAAAACAGGGAGTCGAACTTGCCTGAGACTTGGGAGACCCAACACCCTCATCACTGCACTATTCCTCCTCTCTGTAACACTGCAGGCACTCAGTCCCCAACGCGTTGGGCACCCTTATAAAAGCCCAGCTAGGTACGCACATACGGCAGACCCACAGCGTGCAGAACTTACCAGTCCACTGCCTGGGAGAACTCCGCAATCATGTCTTCACTGCATAGCTTAAGGACAGATGGAAAAAGAAGTAACACGTCAGTAGCAGATCTGGCAAATCGCACAGAGAAGGCAGCAGCTGCCTGTGGAGTGGGTATCAGAGCCACAGGAAGTTGATGGGAGTTACAGTTATCAGTTAAGTGGTTTTCACATTTCACCCACCTCATACACACCCTCGACGGTTCCTCTGGAATATTCTGCCATATTTAACCCTTGCTTTTCAGTACCCTGTTGCTCTCCTTCTCCAGACGGAAAGAACATTCAGAGATTGTGTCTACACTGCAATTGGGAGGTAGGACTGCAGCGCACAGACAAACAGCAGCAGGACATGGGGCTCGCACCTGCTGCTGCAGCGTCACTGCTATTGTTACGCAAGCTAGTTTTGAACTAGCTAACCACACTATATTTGCTGCAGTCACACCTCCTGAGTGCAGTGTAAGGAGACCAGGAGTGCCCAGCCAAGCCAGCATTAGAGGAATACATCATAGCGAGTGCCTAACTCCCTTAGGTCCTTTTGGAAATCCCAGTCACTATAAACAAAGGAGATTTTTAACCATCTTGAGTTTTAAATGGTAACTTACTACTATTTTATTACAGTAGTCAGCTGAATTTGGGGTTCCATTACGCAGCTACACAGTCCCTACCCTAAATAACTTGCAATCTAAATAGACAAAGGGGTGAGGGAAACAGAGGCACGGGGTGGGTCGGTGACTTGGCCAAGCAGGTCAGTGAGAGCCAGGATCAGAACCCTGCTCGCCAAGTCCCAGTCCAGTACTCCGTTCACTGTATCACTCTGCTTCTCAACTTGCAGATCCTGCTAGTTTAATTACTCTGAGATTGCCCCACGTCTGTAGCCAGTGCTGAATTTGGACATGTGAACTGGGACGTGACACCCTTTGTAATCACACACTGTAGGCCAAAATGCCAGTTACCAGACTGATTCTGCCTGAGGTATTTGCCACCCTCTGAGTGGCAGGATGTCTGCATTGATTGGTCTTTGATCAGTTATGATCATTCGCCCCTTGCAATGAATTCAGAGACTGGGGACGTCTGAGTTTTCTGTGTGTTGAGGGGATCCGCGAGGCAGCTGTGGCCTAGTGGACTGGGCTGAGAATCAGGCAACCTGGGTTCTTATTCCCGCTGACTCACTAAGCTTCATAGGCACAAGTTACTTGCCCTCTCTCTGCTTCAGTTTCCCCCATCTATAATGATACCAACCCACCTAAGTAAAGCCCTTTGAGGTGAAAAGCGCTGCAAGTTCAAAGCATCATTTTTAATTTGGGCAAGGAGACCAGCTTCCTTGATGCCTGGATTGTACATCTCATGCTGCTGGAAGGCAATGGGATGGACACAGCCCACAAATGGACATGAGGCCACCTAGTTTAATTGTAATACAACAGGGCGAACAACATTTCTATTCCTGCCCAGCTGGTCCAATGTTACACCCTGTTAGAGATTGAGCTTCAGGGTCAGGGAAACATACAGACCCTCCACCCCCATGCAGTGCACAAACAGCTACCATCACAAGATGTGCCACATCTGCCAGCATTTCCATTACACTCCGGACTTGTCTACACTTAAAACGCTGCAGCAACGCAGCTGCTTCAGTGAATACACTACCTACACCAATGGGAGGGGTTCTCCTGTCTGCATAGGTACACCGCCTTCCCAAGAGGAGGTAGCTAGGTTGACAGGGCCTACACTGGGGGTTAGGTCAGTTTAACTGCATCGCTCAGGGGGGTGGATTTTTCACACCCCTGAGCAACATAGTTATACCAAGATAATTTCCTAGTGCAGTCCAGGCCCCAGTAATAGTTAGGGACAGATTCATTCTTCACAGCACTCACTGACAAATGGGGAAACAGGGAGCCGTGAAGAGAGGAGACCCAGTGGCACAGAGCCAAAGCCCAGCGTGATCCTGTTTTCATCCACTGGAGATCTAGGAAGAAAGAGAGGGATATAAGAATGGGAAGGAAAAGAGAAGAGGGTCGTCAATCCTTCTGGAATCGTGATTTTCCAAGCCAGGACTGAAGAAGGATGCATAGACTAGAGTTAACCCAGAAACTTAAGGACTGTCACATGTATTGTCTGCATCTCATGGACCATTGTCGGATTTAATAAATAATCCCATCTATTTCTGTGGCTCTGGCCTTGCCCAAAGAATCCCAAAGTGCCATGGAAATGCAGACACCTCGGGGTGAAAGGCAGCACCCAGCAGTGAGGGGGTACAGGCCAAACTTTGGCAACGGACAGCGCGGGAAACCCCAGTGAAGTGCTATGAGTCCGCTGAAATCAGAAGGGAATTGTGGAGAGTGAGGTGGAGAGGGATTTATTGATTTAACAAAAGTGAAAGACGGCAAATTTAAAACTGACACTCAGAATCAGAAAGGAGATGCTAACTGTGTGTGTGGGGAAAGGCATGTGGAACTCTCTGCCACAATATGTCACTGAAGCAGAGAGCTGGCAAGATTCAAAGACGGATTAGAGATTTCTACAAATAACCAGCAGAGTTACAACAGTAAGGACTGAAAACAGCACCACCAAAGCCCAGGTGTTTTGACAGGGATCTAAACCCTCCTGCTTCAGGGATTAAGCCAACTTCTACCTAGTAGGAGTCAGGAAGAAACTTTCCCTGGGGGGCAAGGTATCCCCTAGAGGATTTCTTGCACCTCTGTCTGAAGCATCTGGTCCTGGGCACTGTTGGGAACAAGATACAGAACCAGGACCACCACTGGACTAACCAGCAAGGCAACCTCTAGGTCATTTACTCAGCTATTCCAGGGGATGGCAGGGGAGCAATTCCTACATAGAGCTTATTTGGGATCCTTCAGGGTGGGAGACACAATGGTGTTCTGTGGCTGTGGATGTTCATTTGAAAGCAGTTTACAGGCTCAGCAGGTAACTCTGAAAATGGGATTTTAAGCACAACCGTAACCAGACATCATTAGCCTACTGTCCCTGGGAGCAGCACTGAGCTGCCACGATCCAACAGCTCCCCCCGAGAGACAGCATCAGACAGGACGTGTCTGTACAAGTCTTCTGCTGCTCTCTCATTACGGGTCGGGTTGTTATTTCAGGTTCCGTGCAGTGTATGATACCGGTTGGGTTTTATTTCCCCTCTGTGAAATGAACAGATGGGTTTTGCTTTAAGCTTTTGTTGCTGTGGCAGCAGCAGCTCCCTCTATGTCCTACAGTGACTCTAGGCACTGACAGAGAGGAAAGGACGGAGTGGCAGCTTTAATCTCGTATCAAGCTTCAGCTGTTTCAGAAGAAGTCAACCCTGTCCCCACTTCCTTTTCCCCACAAACTCCAGCTGATCCGCTCAGTGCTAGAACCCCTTCCTCACTAACTCACGTAACAGAGAGAGGAGCCACAGGGAGGTGGGGAGGGCAGAGTATGAGAGGGGGGAAGCAGCAGAGTCCCAGGAGACAGGGACTAAAGGGAATGGAGGGATCAAGGCATGAAAAGATTTAGGAGACAGCTACCTAACTCCTTCCCAACACGTAGCCAGGGCTGCTCCCCTATGCCACAGTCAGACTCACCTGCCTCCTCCGCATTTGCTATCTCGTTAAGCACCCCACACATTCCCACATCGCGCCTGTGGACAGAAAACGATACGAGTCTCCTACATATCACAAGGCTACAGGTTTAAGCTAGACAGTAGGGGTGGGGAGTAGCACTTCCCCCAGCAATGCAGGTTGCTAGCATGGGACTTGGGAGATTCAGGTTCAATTCCCTGCTACACCACATACTTCCCACGTGGCTATGGGCAAATCACTTAGTCTCTGCGTGCCTCAGTTCCCCATCTGTGCAATGGGGATAACAGCACTGCCCGGCCTCAAGTAGAGGGGAAGAGAGAGAAAAAAACGAGATAAATCCCTTAAAAACTGTGAGGCACTCAGATACTACAGTAGCATACCTTATATAAACAGCCCATCCCTACTGAGATACCCTCTCTGTAGCCACATGTGTAGGTAAGCAAGACGTTCTGGCATGAACAAACTGGACACAGTATCCAGGAGCCAGACTCTAAACAGGGCCTCAAGTTGTTTCGCAATCTCCCTGCAACCCAACCTTGTTCGCTCTGCTTCACCTTACTGCAACTCCTCCCTCAGCAAAAGTCACCAACTCTGACTTCCTCCTTTCGACTGATGGTTCTCTCCCACCAACCTGGTCCAATATCCAATACCCCCAACCCCTTTGCCTCCCAGCTGTTGGAAATTGTCAGTTTATACCAGGCAAACCTGCTACCTGACTTGCTTATGACCTGCTTTCCAGCTGCACGGACCTGCCTGTTAACCTCAGGACAAAAAAAAAAAATGACCAACCTCATTTCCCAGTTTCCAAGTGACATGCGCCCACCCTTGGAAATTGCAGAAAAGTCTAGGGTTCAGAACCCCTTCCCATCTCAAGCAGCACTGTACCTGCCCTTAGGACAGCACAGGCTTTTCGTCCACTGATTGCAAACGAGAGATGAAAGGAGAATTTCAGCATGGGCTTTGCTATAAAAGGCCAGCATAAGGAACTGAAATGAGACACAATTTTAATTCTGAATGGCAGCCAGCACAATGAGGGTTATCTGAGGAACAGTCACCTCTCAGTCTCCAACACACCGACCCTGGATTATTAATTATTATCATTTGTGTTATGGTCGTGCCTAGGGGGACCCAGTCAAAGATCAGGGACTCCTTGTACAAACACTTAAAGAGATGGTTCCTGCCCCCAAAAGCTTGCAATCTTAGTAAGTGACAGCTGCCTCCTTGCTTTCTGTTGCACACAATCGCTCACCATGCATTGAGACATCTCTTCCAGAGGGTCTCCTGGTGGTGGATGAAGGCAGGTTTTGTGCTATGCTCCAGCCGGCTGTGAGCTTTCAGGGTTTCCTTGGGGATGGTTAGGACAGGCAGATCAGCCAACTGCAAGTACAAAAACCAACAATCAATCAAACAGACTCTAGTGAAATGGCGTGATCGGAGGACCAATGGCTGAGGGGTTTGGGAACAGGACACAGAACGAATCACTTCCAAGACACCATTTCCAAAGAGCATCTGAAAGCTGCTACCACTCTCCAATCATTGGACAACTTGCATGTAACAAGCAGGCAGATGTCAGTGCAGTTCAAGGATCTGTAAGCTCCAGGGAATATGCCTTCTCACAAGTCTGCAAGACATTTGGCACATTGTGGCCATTATACAAAAGAATAAATATTTATAATCACAAAAACCACCAGCCAAGTGACCCCTCTTGTGGGCAACCTCAGCAAAGATACCAAGGGCTGATAGAAATAAGAGGCTGGTTCAATGACCAGATCAGGGTTGAGGCACATTGGCAGGGGCGGCATATAGGGAACACTTGCCATGTTGTGCCCAACTGTATTTGCTCTGTGCATAAACAAAGGAGTCAGTCTTCAGGACTGGCACAGTGGCACCTGCCAGCCATTTTAAATGCACCTATATCTGAGGAAGGAGGTTGAATCCTACTTGTATTGGAACCCCAGTCATTAACCAAGACCCCAGTGCGTTCAGCGCTATACAAACACAGATCAAAAAGATGGAGCTTATCCTCTAAGTAATGAACAACCTGAGCTAAAGGGTATATTCTCAACTTGATGTAAGCAATATGCTAGGAGAACATATTAATGTGAGTGCTAGTTGATCACAACTCATTCATCAGAAACCAGCTTCCATTGCCAGCTAAGCAGACACCATAATTATAGCTACAGGTGGGGAAATAAGCAGTTGGGAGGCAAGTGACTAGGATTCCTGAAAAGGAGAAGGTCACATAGGAAAGGAAACAGAAAAAAACTGGGCCAGGAGGCACAGGGGCTTCTACAAATTGTCAAAATGTTGATTAATTTTAAAAGGTTTTGAAGTTTTGGTGGGTTGTTTTTTTTTTCAATTTGTGAATTGGGTGCTGGATGGAAACTGCCAGAAGCCAAAGTCTCCTTCATCTTCAAGTAAGAAGAAAGCAGGTTGCGGACCCGCACTTAGGGACAAGGACCCCACTCTGCTAGATAACTGGTGAACAGAGAACAAAGGGACAGTCCCTGTCCCCAAAAGCTTAAAATCTAAGTATAAGGAAAGAGACAAAGGTGGACACAAAAAGATGGATGTGGGAGTACAAGGAAATAGTGACATCATACGGTTCTGAGGGTTTAAGATTGGCAGTTCCCTCTTCCATGCATTAAAATCCTTCAGGGACAACGACGCCTCCTGCTCAGAGGTTAAAGTAAGGGGGACCTGGGAGAAAGCACAGATGCCCCCTGCTACGACCAGAGGGGCAAGCCCCGTCCCTCCACGGCGTGAATACGCAACACTTCCCCAGGCTGCTCCCCTTCTTTTTGGCTGGTGTGGCGAGTGCTCCCTGCTGTTCCAATCTACTCAAACCCCAGCTGGTGCATGGAGCTCCAAAGCTCGGTTCAGTCCACTGATCTCCTGCTGGTTCACCTGCCCCTGGGGAGAGCAGGCCCATCCCAGAGGGGCAGAGTCTCCAAGAAGCAGCTGGTGGCACATGTGCTTGAGGCGGCCCCGGGAGAGGAGGCGGCCCCAGCTGGCCCCTCGGGAGGACAGCACTCGCCTGGTCTTGGAAAGCGAGCGGGAGCTTCTCGTAGATGTGGCCGGAGACCAGCGCGTTGTTAAATTCGTACAGGGTGACATCTCCGGGGGCAGGCGGGGGCGGGAACAGCGCCAGGGAGCACATCCTGCTGCAGGTCCTGGGGAGAAGGCCAGGCCGGGCCGGGCCGGGCCGGGTCAGAGAGGGGAGTGTAGCCCCCGTCGGGGGGCCCATTCAAGCCCATCACCTCCGCCCTGCCCCAGGGTCCCCTTCCCACCGCAGGCCCGGGGGAGCCCAGACCCCAGGGCCCCACACTCATCGCCCCGTCTCTCCCCACGCACGTGCCCCAAGGGGTCCCCTTCGCCTCCCGCGTCCCACCGCAGGACCCCCCCAGCCGGGACGGGGCAGAGCCCGGGGCCCCCAGCCCGCCCCTTTCACCCCAGGCTCCCCAGCAGAGAGGGACACGTGCCCCCGGCGCCCCAGCCACCCCCATTCCTGCCCCACGGCTCCGCCTCCACCCAGACCCTGGGGGGGGCCGCCGGCCCCTCCGCCGTTACCAGGCACCAGCCCCTGCTTTTCCCGGGCCCGGTTCAGAACCCGACGGAAGCCCGCTCAGGACACGCCGCTAGGCCCGCGCTCGCCCCCTCCCGGCGCCTCCCGGCAGCTCGCTGGTGCCGGGTGGGAGGGGGAGAAGCACGCGGGAGAGCAGCGGCCCGGCAATTAAAGGGGCCGCGACCGCATTTCGGCCTGAGCCTCCAGCTCCCCGCTGCTGCCCCGGCCCCCCCCCCAGCTCGGTGTCTGACCCCCACCCCGCCCCCCCGCCCCTAAGCAGCTCTGTGGCCTTCCTGCCTCTTCCTCCTTCCCTCCCCCCCTCCATTTCACCCCTTCCTCCTTCCCTCCCCCCCTCCATTTCTCCCTGTCCCCTCCACCCCCTGCTCCATCTCTCTCTAACTCCCCTCCTCCTCTGGCCCCCCAAACAGGCAGCGTGGCATGTGGGGCAGGAGTAGGGGGGAGCGAATAGCAGGGGTGCTCTGAGAGGGGTTCCCAGGACAATCCTCCCATGGCTCCCAGTTATTCACTCCCCCAGGTGCCCCTCAATCATGCCCCCCTTACCACCCACTTTTAGAAAACGACATAAGGGCCAGGCCGTGCGCATGCAAACACCCCACCCCCACCCCTGCATGGGGCAGCCGGGGCTGTAGGGTCTCACTCTCAGCTCCACCCTGTGCTCTTCACACCTTTCTGGAGCAGAGGCGCTTAGGCTGAGATTTGCAGAGCTGCTCGGCGGATCCGGACGCCTGATTCCCACTATGCAGTTTTGGAAATCCCGGCCTTAATTCCCCAAATTCTCAAATGCTGTGAAACCAGGGAAGACGCAGTGTTACGGCCAGGGCGAGGCGCTGTACAGGCATAGAGCGAAGAGTCAGTCCCTGCCCCAAAGCATTTGCAATCTCTCTGTTAATGGTTGCCCTTCTAGAGCATGCGTTTAACTGGCCAAACTCAAATGCTGGAAAAGCAGGAACATAGCCGCCTTAAGGGGACATTAGCCAAGTACCTTAAGTCTGCCCCATTTGAGCCTAGCTGTTTGGGTGATCGCAGCACCCTACCTCTCCTTGACGTGCTCTAGCAGTTCCAGGCACTAGCTTCAGATGTGGGAGCGCTAGGGTCAGTTCCCTGCTCTGCCACAGACTTCTTGTGTGGTCTTGGGAAAGTCACTTAGCCACCATGTGCCTCAGTTTCCCCATCTGTACAATGGGAATAATAGCACCGGCCTGCCTCACGGGAGTTGTGAAGAGAAATACACTAAGGCTGTGGTGCACTGAGTCACTATGGTAATGGAGGGCCTTACAAATCCCTAGCATAGATAGTCCACTGTGATCTCTGCCAACCAACCAGCAGCAAGTGCTGTGCAGACCACGCGGGTGGGGTAGCTGGAAGTCCTGCCTTGACATTGGGGCGGGCAGAGGTTAAATGGCAGGTTTCCTTAAGACCAGGCTGTTCCCAGGTCCACTGTGATGGGGTCAGAGTTAAGGCTGTGCTGGGTGGGACGTGTCACCTTAGCTGGGCACTTCCTAGTTTGCCCACGTGCGGGGAGGAATCTCTCCGCCCTTGCAAGGGCACAGGCCGCTGCTGAGCGCCTGCAGCCATGACACCCCAGTAACCAGCTTGTCTAACTGGGAGCCCAGCAATGCTATGAGGGAGGCCGACGGTGCATGAGGGAGACAACTGTGTTGGTGGGCACGTGGCATTGTTGTGTGTGTGTGTGCAGAGTGATCTGCACATGGGGGGGTGTCTCTGATGGAGGGGGAGGATGTACAGGAGTGTGTGGGTGCATCCAGCTCAATGGGGGGGCAAGGGGATAATAGGGGAGCTTGTAGGCAGCTGGCTAGAAGGATTGTTCACACAAGGCCACACGCAGAGAGACACCTTTCTATACAACCACCTCCAGCCAAGCCCCGCATCCCCTCGTAAACACACACCCATCAGATCCCCATGTATCCTCCTATACATGCACGCCTCCTATTCCCTTCCACACCCGCGCATACACACACCAGTCCCTGCGAGACACAGGCATCCCCACATGGCTCTATGCTCTCTCTCACACACACACACGACTCCCCCCAGCCTTTCTCTTTTCAGCAGATTTGTTTAATTTCTCCCCCAATTGGCACATTCCTGCCATGGGGCTGTAAGACGTGTGTGTCTGTCTGTCTGATGAGCGTGTCCATCTAGCTGTGTGTGTCCTGCTATGTCTGTGTGTGTGTGCCTGTACCTGTCTATATGTATGCACAGGTATGTGCCTGTGTGTGTCTTTCTCTGGGTGTGTCCATCTCTCTGTATATGCAAATCCATCAGCCTCTGTGTGTGTGTGTGCGCGCGCGCGTATGTGTGTGTGTAGGCATCCATCGTCGCCATTTGTGTCTGTCTGTATCTCTCTGTGTGTCCCTCTGTCTTTCTGTGCGTATATCCTGCTGCCTAGCTCCGTCTGTCCGTGCGCCTGTGTCTGCCTGTCCCTCTGTGTGTGTGTGTGTGTGTGTGTGTCATTCTGTGCGTGTGTGTCCGTCTGTGTGTCTCCTTCATGCTCACATTCCCTCCCGAATCCCAGCCTCTCCGGTTTGGAAGGATCCCAGCCCCTCTTTGGGGTTCTATTTTCTTTCCCTCCCATTTTCAGCTCACTTTTATTCTATTTATCTTGGGGGGGGGGGGAGTTAGTGGCCACAGAAGTTATTTTAATTTTTTCAGGATATTAAATAAACGCTCTGGCGGAGGGGGCTGCGGGAGGGGGCCTGCATTCCTGATCCATTACACAGAGAAGATGGTTTGATAGGAGCCGGCGATTTGGACGGCGCCTCTTGCTGGAAGACATCAGAACCACCACAGGCCTGGCTCGGCCCTGATGGCTTCCCCCCACCTTGGACACAGACTCACAGGCAAAATCCTGCTTGGAGCTGCATGTGGGGAAGGGAAACAGGCAACGCCTGAGGTGCCCACTTCCCTCTGCCAAGGGGTCCCCAGGTCAGCCTTATGGGGTGATAAAGATCTGCTCACACCTACAGAGCCCCCAGATTGGGAAGTTCCCCGCCAAGGACCCAAGCATTCCCCTTGGGTTTCTGCCACACTGGTGTCATCTCTTCACTGTACCCCTTGGAGCCTGTGAAGTCAGCTGGAGTCTTTCCATTGAGTTCAGAGGGCCATTGGCCTGGGCCCATCCACAGCATGTGACACTACAGCATTGGCTTTGGTAACCCCAGCGATCGGCTTGGGGCTCGGCAAAGAAAGAGGTTCATTAAAAGAGACATTCTCCAGATTAAAAAATAAATACAAATCATCTCTCAAGGGCAACATACGAGGAGTGTCTCTTAAATGGCTAGCTGGGTCCCAACCCAACGACCTTGGAGGCAATTGTTAGCATCAGTAAGTGGAAAAAGCTGAGACTAGAACTCACAATCTACTTCCCTAGGTCAAAGGAGTAGCAGCAGCAGCAGCATATGATGCTCTAGCTCTGTGCCTGGGAGTCTGCTCAGTGCAAAGGGAATATTCAGAGATTTTTAGGAGCAAGCTCTGAGAATGGGCAAATGGTGATTTTCAGAGGATTATAACTCGGCCAAATCTAGCAGTATTTTCCTGTGGACAACAAAAGGCACCTCTCTGACTCCAGGGCGATACTCCTCCGAAATTTCAACATCCTGCTTCAAACCAGGGTGGTGCTAGCGCTCTTCAAAGAAACAGTAGGAAAAATTGCTTAACATTGGTAAAACGGCCTATTATTTTCCTTAACCTCATTCTCAGATGGACCATTTTTTGCTGAAAATCTCCCAGAAACAAAAAATTCAGCCTGAGGTTGAGAGCAACCAGGGGATAATTCAGCCCAAATTGTTTAAGTCTGGCAAAGTTATACCTAAAGACAGGGGCTTATAATGGAAACGTGTTAGGTAACCTTAGCTCTAGGTTGTGCTATCAGCTCTGCCTATAATATTTATGGTTCCCATCCCCCGACCACCACTCAGTGCTTACCAACTAATCTACAAACAGTACACATGGGTTTTTTGCATGCCACTGAGATGTGGATGCTTCTGAGATAAACCCACAACAGCACACAATAGTTTAGGACAGGCAGAGAATTCCTCATCCGCCTGCAGGTGGAATTGGAATCCAGCTGCAGGGGAAAGATTAGGGAAGCAGGATATTATCTGATCAGGGATTTAGCCAGGCTACTGGGGTTAACATCCTTATTGACCAGTGGTTGGGGCACTAGCCTAGGGGTACGTCTTCACTACCCGCCGTATCGGCGGGTAGCAATCGATTTATCCGGGATCGATATATCGCGTCTCGTTAAGACGCGATATATCGATCCCCGAACGCGCCCACTGTCGACTCCGGAACTCCACCAGAGCGAGCGGCGGTAGCGCAGTCGACGGGGGAGCCGCGGCCATCGATCCCGCGCCGTCTGGACCCCAAGTAATTCGATCCAAGATACTTCGACTTCAGCTACGCTATTCGCGTAGCTGTAGCTGAAGTTGTGCATCTTGGATTGATCCCCCCCCAGTGTAGACCAGCCCTAGGACTTAGAAGTGCTGGGTTCGCATCCCTGCTCCTCCACAGTCTTTATGTGTGGAGCATCTGTGCGTGTTAGATTTCCATTGCGATCAAACGCCCATTGATTTCAACAGAAGTTTGGAGCCCACATACCGTTGAGGATCCAGGCCTTAGTTTCTACATACCTCAGTTCCCTAGTGAAGATAATAGCTCTGCCCTGCCTCGCAGGGGTGTTGGGAGGACAATTACATTAAAGATTGTGAGGTGCCCAGATACTACAGTGATGGGCTCTGTGTAAG